ATTCGGAACTATCTAATCTGCTTCTGAAGTTTGCGTGTTTCTTTGAATCCCACCTAGAACTTAAGTTCCTAACAGTTCAGTTACCAGTAACCGGCGATTGATTAAACGCAAATATCACAAAACAAACCGGGCAAACCGATAATAATGATAAAATTCCGCAGTCACCAATGCAAAACACTTTTCAAACTCCGTGCTGCTACTTTTTCAGCAAATCGACACCTTAGGCGAACATCTGATCTCTCGATCTGGGGGAGGGTTGGCTTAGTATTTTTAACTTCACATTGCGGTTTTCAGCGTGAGACACAAGTGAACTAACAGGTGAATTGTAAAGAAAACATAATTCCACTCGTCCAAAGATAATGCCCTACTGGATGCAAACCAAAGTGTAGTTAGCACTGTAATACAAGTTGGGAACTCTCAGTGGTGTCTCCACACCGCGCTTAAGTTTGACTCGTACCGGGGTCTGCACACAGAAATCGAGCAGTTGTGTGCATTCCGTAGTCGTGTCAGAGAAAGCACTGANACTCCACCGTAAACGGTCTTCCGTGTTTCTGTTTCTTCCCGCCGCAGCCTTTGTATGGCTGCGGTCCCCCTTCTGAATGCTGACTGTACATTTGTATATTAAATAAATAAAAAGGAACGAAAAAGAGACACAAAGACAGAGACACATACCTATGCTATCGAATTTTGACTTTATTCGAACCTCCCAACTGTCGTATTCTGAATACCACCCAATAGGCTAATTAATTCTACTGACTGGCACATTTATGAAAGAAAACAAGCTACAGTGAATCCAAAGCTTCTCAATTATTTACACCAAATGCAAAATAATCTTTCCAGAGGGGAGGTGTGTATGGCAATAGAAAGGTTACCGCGGGAAATACCGATAATGGGAAGATAGAAAACAGTACTGGGTTTCGAAGTCAGCTGATGCTGATGATTTAATTAAACAAATCCGGAATTACCGTTCAGTGCCTAAACCTCCCCCCCCACACACACACTGGAAGGTTTCACTTGTCGTTGTTGTTAACGATAAGCATAGAATATGGATGTGTGTGAATAAAAGGTGAATAAGTAGGTTACTTTTCATCCCCATGATATGTAACGAAAGTCAGTGAAAATCACGCATTCGTCGAATTTTTTAGCAAGAAATTAAACTTTATTTAAACCAAATCATAATTGTTAGTAAATCAGATATTAGAATATGGTATTCTAAAATTAAAGACATGATTTTTTCTCAACTATCCGTTTCTCCTAACAGTGCCTACTCGACCGGTGTACAGCCAACATCACCAATTAAGGATGATGTATTCATCTCAGACCAGTCCACATGCACTGTGGTCAGATCGCCCAGTTTTGGTGAACATTTTCGAACCCGTGCGAGTTCATCCAGTCGTCGACGGAATTTCACCTCGCTAGACACAGAACGATCCGTGACCACACCGGCCAGCGCAAAAGATGAACCCCAATCGCCCCAAAATCAGCATGCTCATCGTCATCCCTCTCCACTTCCGGTTTACGGCGGTCCGTGGACCAGCAAATATGACCCTTTGCCCTCTCCGCTTCTCGAATTGGAAAAAATGGAATTGTTTCCTCTTTCTGGTCAGTAGTGTTTGATTTAAAATTGCTTACGCTTCTGCAATCAGACGTGTTTGCCCTGTTTTCCGCCTTCAGGTAATATTCGAGGTCACATGGGTGAAAATGATGCATGAGCTAGATAGGACAGAACCTCAGTCGATCGGGAACATTAGATACATGTTGGGTTGAGTATTTCGTTAATTGGTAAAATCGACGGGGTTCGAAACGTAAACAGTTCCTGTTGGCGTTTGGGGAAGCTTGTTGACCTTCGATGGGTGAGATGAACAGCTGTGCACAGTGTCATTTTCTTCACTGGATAGGTGTCACGAACAGACTAACCTTACGAGT